AATTAATTTTTTTGGTTTGCTTAATCCAAAATTATTAGCTGTCAGAACAGATGTAGATATTTTCAGAGGTACTCAGCATAAACAACCAAACAAACTTGTAGAACATTTCATAGTCCTCTCTTTTCTTACTAATTCATAGGAATTTGAGGGGCTCTTTTTAGTTAAAAGTATTATTCTGCTATTTTCTTGGGGAAAGACCTGGATGAGACATTTTTTTGTGTAAATAACAAGCAAGAAATAAAAATGTACACATCTCACCCATCCCTGAAATGAAACAATTTCTTGTGTTAAAACGTGAGAGATGACTGGTCAGACAGATGTGTTGATTAAACTCCCTGTGCTCTTATTATCTTGACAGACATCAGTTCCAAGTTGACTGAGTCTGTGATACAATGGCTAAAACCAGCTCTTCTCCGTGTATGAGTTCAATGCTTTCTTTCTTACCTATTTACATGGATGTACCTTGCATGGCCTCTTCAGATTTTGTCCTCCTAACCATCAGAGAGAGAAAATCAAAATTCCCATAGTTTGCTCCAAGGTGTTCCCAGGCCCCTTCCCAAACAGTCAGGAATTGTACAACTGTGTTACCTATTCTTATGTTTGAAATTAGAATTTGTAAGCTTTATGGCTTCTTCTGTCACAGGAGAAATCCTGCCTTCCTCAGAATTGCTAGAAAACTTCTACTGATTTCAGGCTGACTAGAATTTCACATTAGGTTGTGGGCTTAGGATGTGTGCAAGTTCTAATAGCTTCAATGTATAAATGTAAATTGACACAATCCCATTAACCAGCAAACACAATTAACCATGTGGAACAGTGTTTATACAAGTTTAAGTGTTTTAGTTAGAATAAATATTTTCTCCCTTACAGAGTTAGCTTTTTTTCATAACCTGTGACCTGGTTTATACACAGCTATGATGATTCACAAGTGCCTTCTCTAATAGGGATTAAACAATACTGCTGTAACTATCAGTAGGGGTAGAGTTAAGCACTATTTTTGCTAGCTTTAATTGTACCTACATGTAGGAAATTGCACCATTTTTACTCAGTTATGTTAGAAATAGGTATATTAAAATTGTATTAAAAGTGTTAACTGGTCATTGAGGAGGTAAGACCTGCTATAACACTTTCCCAGTTTATTTAAAACAAGATGGAGGTACTGTGAGTAGCCAGTTTTCTCAGAGAATTTGTCAGTACCTGTTTTGTAGATACATCAACAACCATTTGTTTCTCAACCAAATTACACAGTTAAACTAGAAAAATCAGTTGCTGCATCTGGTCTAAATTCCTTTCTCAATCTTTTTATAAACCTATTGATGTATGAAGGATATCTGCTTATGATCAAGCATACCATTTTACCCTAACTCCATAAAAGCAGCCTGAAGACCATAATTATAAATGTGATCAGCTCTCGTCATTAAATTTTTGACACCTCTACTGAAATGTATTTAGCAGCTGATCCTTCTTAAATAAGTAAATAAAACCAAAACAGAAAACCCCTTACACTTATTTCTACTCATCTGTTTTATCTGGAACACATTCCTTGGGCCTGCTGGTGCAATATATATGTAAGGAAACTGTGATCTTGCAGAAGAAAGGGAATTGGAAGGGGAAATAGGAAAAAAAAATCTTATGAATGTTCTCAGACTCATGAGCTCAAGTATTTCATGATGGAAACTCTCTATAAGGCAACTCTTTTTCTCTTTAGAAGTTGACGAAATTAACTTAATCTTCTCGTAAAACTATGTAGGGACAAGTAAGATTTTGACTGGGTTTGTTTTGATCTCCATCAGTGAATTTCTGTGGTAGCTTGATCTAGGCAGTGGTGAGCAGGTTAGTGGGGATGGTCTTCAGTGGCTCCATATGGGGTGGGACAAAGTAACAAAAATACAGGCCAAAGAGGAGAAATACTTGCACAGCTGGCAACTCTACTACAAGAACCAGTTTTTCTTTGCTCTGTGATCAGTGCATGCAGTGGGAAACCTTGCATTTTACTAAAGCCTTGTCAGGCAAAGCTTGCCGTCACCTAACATGCCATGGTGGTTTCTACTTTCTTTGAAAAATGGTCACTCAAAGGTGCCGATTCTGTTAGCTATTTATCTAGTAACTTGGTGGCTACAGATTTGGATTTTTTCCTATTCCTCTTGAGTAGAGTAAGAGACTCAGCTCTTCTAATTACCATTCTGGGTGAAAAGGGCATGTTGCAAATGTTACCTCTTCTGTGTGGAATGTTTAAAGCTTTTTCTTGGGCGAAGAAAGTGGGTAGGAACATTATTAGATCTGAGCACTGACTGGGACACCTGAGCTCTGGGCTTTGGTAAGCACTCTACCCATTGGCTTGTTAATTCCTTCACTTTCCCTCTGGCTCAGTGCACTTTTATGTAAAGTGAAATGCCTTCAAAAGAGCAAATGGAGATTTTCCCCACATTAGACTATCCCGGTGACTGAGGAACCCTAATAAGAGGTGAGGATTGTGGGTTTGAAATCTTTTAGCTTGGGGAATTGATGCATATTCCTCCGTCTCGAGATGACTATTTCAACCAAGGAGAAAGAATGCAGCAGATGATGGTAGTAGTTGATCTTTCCTGGTAGAAAAAAATGCATCTTCACAAATAGAGTATTAAGGGTTGTGAATTGTACAAGAGGGGAGAGATTTCCCGGCAACCCTAAGATAGATTGCTGTGCTTGAGAATCTGGGCTGATGCTTACTAATTTCAGTGAAAGTAAACCATTACATTGCAGCTGCAGTTTTAGGTCTTGTGATGGCTGAAAGGGTGCTGGTAGTGGGATCAGTTTTCTTGTACAGAGTGCGAGTCCCTCACACCTGAGCTGTCTGTCCCCGTCCCAGCTGAACCGACCCTTCTGAAGCTGTGGCAGTGGATGACCTGCAGAGGTGGCCTTTTCCCAACAGGACGCTTTGCCGCGAGAAGCAGAATGCTTCTCCTGGTCGTGCCGGCAGGGTGCCGAGGTGGCTGCTCGGGCCAGGGCGCCGGGCTGCTGCTCTGCCCCTGGGCGTCCCGAGCAGCAGGAAGGCAGGGGGACGCTCCGGCCTTTCTCTCGTGCCCCATCCCGAGCGGGGAGCCCCGCGGAGGGGCCGCGGCAGGTCCGGGGGCTGGCCCGGGGCGGGGGTCCTGAGCCTGCCCTCTTCGCCCGCGGGGGTCAGGCACGGGCAGGGGGCAGCTCCATGGCTGGCTTTCCCTGTCCTTCCCCTCCTCCTCCCACTGTAAGTAATGCATCGCAAACAGCTGATGCGTTCGTCTTTGCAAAACGCCTTCGTGGCTAGCGGCTTATGTGACTAAAAAGGCTGAGGAGCCAAGGGTAGGCTACAAACACTGAACCTGTAATGCAAAGGGTACGTTCATAACAACCGCATTATGTTGTCCCACCTAAAACAGGCAGTTCTACATGTCTTCTGTGATCTGTAGCAATTATCTGCGTTTTACAAGACTCTTGCGTCACTGAAGTAGCTGGAGGTGACCCCGCAGCACCCGCCGATGGCAGGGACGCCTCCTGGTGAGGTGTGATGGAGGGAGAGGAGGCGGCTCGCTGCCCAGGGTGCCTGGGCGAGGCGTGGCACCGGGCGAGAGCGCTCCCAACACCAGCGTTAGCTTTTCACGCTTTTAACTAATGATCACGGGGCTAGCGTGACTGGTATGGGGGCTGGAAATCAGCTGCTATTAAGTCAGAAATCATTTATCAGTTTGAGGCTGGTTGGGGCCAGTTTTCTTAAGGTGATTGAAGAAAAGGGGAGAAGGGTTTGAGAAACCTGGAAGCTTGTGTACTCATTTCTAAATTGCGTTGGACTTCTAGTTACACATCGAAAATCCTTTCCTAAAAATAACTGCTGTCCACCAAGTAACGTAAAACACTCGCAGAGCGTTTCTTAGTGTTTTAGCTCTCCATCGCCCAGTAGCATTTCATGCTTCCCCCCGTTTAAAAACAATGGGGAAAGGTGCTGTTTGGATTTAGACTAATTTTTCAACAGCGATAAAGGGGCTGTTTTCTGTAACAGCGTAGATTATTAGAAATTTGTAATTTGCAGTTCGCATTTGCCATCAAAATCACAGCAGGGGTGTAAAAAAAGGGACTAGATCCTGTAGCAACCTCAGTAATTCCCGTTCGCGGGTTTGGTATGTCGATGGAAAAACTCAACGCTTTCAGAGAGAAGTTGCTTGAGTTTAATAAACAGTGACTTCAGAAAGTGCAATAAAATCAATTAATGTTGCAAAAGCATTGGCCAAAAACAAAGTGGTGAAGGGATTTATGGAAATGTAATGGATTTACAAGCATTTATCCTGCGACTTGATAAACAGCAATTGGAAGTCGAGATGGTGAAAATAATTAGTCCCGCAGCTTCAGTGAATATGGACAATTTATTATTATAATTTTATCCTTTCAGTGGTTATTCAAATTTATTTTTTAATTTTGTGAGCTGAAGCGAGGGGGGATTAATCTAAAGTTTGGTTCCCCCTTCCTCGGGGGCTCGGTTTCTTTTCGCATTTTTTCACTTCACAAAGCAAACCGTGATCTGTCATTTGCCAGGGCTTCTTCACACAGAGGGCTCGTTCTTAGGTTTTCTGCATGTATTTTAAGGACTATTATCGTTGGCCTTAGTAAATAATGTTACCCAGCGGGGGAAGGATCAGCTGTTTGTCTCCCTGTACGCCGGGGTTTTCTCTCCCTTTTGATTTTCAGATGCGTTTTCATGCAAACTTTCAAAGAGCCGCCCTTGGGAAGAGGCAGCAGGAGCATGCCCTGGCTCTTGAGCAATGCTAGCAGCGAAAACTTTTCTGCTTGCTCTCAAGACTTCGTAGCCCTATTATTACAGTAGAAAAGAGACATCCAGCATGGAGTAGAAATTACAATTTCGAGAAGTCAGGATTTATTACAGTTAAACTGTGATAAGATCCCATCTGTTATGAACACATGTAGCACCAATTGTTTTTCATACAACTGCAATTTATTTACCCTTCAGAGCGAATGAGATTACAAGCGCGATTAAAAAAAAAATCAAAAACAACAACAACAAAAAACCCCAAACCCAACCACCATGATTTTTGGTTTAGTTTTTGAGGGTTGTTTTTTTTTTTGGTCCGGCCTATCTGTTTTTATCTGGGCAGGCCGTTTGCAGTGGCACGCTGCCCTCGGGGGCTGCGGGGCGATTCCCGGTGCCCGAGCGGTGTCCGCGGCTCCGGCCGCTGCCCTGCGCTCCGCGGGGCCCGCAGCGCCGCCTGGCGCCCGGGAGCGACAGCGGCCCCGGCCCGCGCACACAAAGGGCAGCCGCTCCTCCTCGCCCTTCCTGCCCGGGAGCCGCTCCTCGCTCTTCCTCCCGGGAGCCGCTCCTCGCTCTTCCTCCCGGGAGCAGCCCCTCTTCCGCCGGGCAGCTGCGCGTAACGTGCCCGCGCGGGCCTCCGCGTAAAGCGTGCCCGCTCTGGCCCGCGCCTCAGGAGAGCAGTAACGTTTGCTATTAACTGGAACGTGAACCTGAAACGATGGAGGGGGAGGGGAGATATTTTTGTGCTTCCTTTGGTCGTGGTAGTTTGGGAACGAGGAATGTGCCTGCTCGTCTTCTTGTCCCATCCCACAGAAGTGGTTTGGATCGAGTAGCACGCGCTTCAGAAAATAAGGCAGGAAAGATGAGCCGCTCTCTCTCTCGCACACACACACACACGCGAAATCCCACACGTTTTTACCGTGATAGCCTAAGAGCGGTAATCTAATTTTGTTCTCTTTCAAACTGTTTCAAGGCATATATGTGTGTGTGTGTATATATATGTGTATATATATCCTCCAGGTTTCAGTGGGCGTCCTTCTGCTGCTCTGTTATCATTATTTCTTGCCTTGATGTGACGTTGAAGACAGATGACAGCATTGTCAGGTTGTCTTTAATTCATTTGAAGATTAAAAAAAAATACACACAGAAGGCTTCTTACACAATATTCAAAGCCTGAACGGATTCACTTCTTTTTTTTTTTTTTTCCACAGAGGGGACGTGGGGCTGGGAACGGGGGTGGGTAGTTGATGAATTTCAGACATGAAGAGAGAACAAAGTCTGTGTGCATCGCTGTGCGTGCACACATGCACAGAGCAAGCAGTCGGAGGTGAGATTTTTGCAACAGCAGCACCTGGTTGATGTTGATGGAGAAATATCCAGCATTAGGACAGTCTTTTCGCATTTATGCACAAGCTCAAATGTATAATCTGCTCAAATTTCAACCACGTCTCTGCTGCCAAAGCATTCCGCCTCCGAAGAGGTGAGAGCATACAGACTCAGGGTCCGTCTTTTTTCTTCTGACACCTCTGTACTTCATCGCAACAAAATTTTACCTTAAAAAAAGAAAAGGTAGTCTGCCCCGAATTTTTCAGGAGTGAGCTGAGAAAGAGATTTAGCAGGGATTAGACACCTCTGATCAGAACTCAGGTCTGTTCGTGAAGCAGTGCTAGCTGTGCTTCATGGTGCAGAAAGAATTAGGGGTGGTGGGGTGTCTCAACATGGCGTTACAAATGTCCAAAATTATACCCAAAAATCTATATGAGAAGGAAATTTGGTGCTGGTAGCTCCAGCGATTTTCCACTTCAGAATCGTTTCTTAAAAATAAAAAAGCCCCCCCCCCCAAAAAAAAAAAAAAAAAAAAAAAAACAAAAGAAAACACACAAAATTAAAAATAAAAAAATAACGACCACTGAAAAACCCTAAACTGTGGTCTACTGAAAGCCTGCAATGAGAGCCAACAGTATTAAAGCAGCATTGCTCTCCATCTTTTCTAAGTATGAAATAATGAAGTTTGATCAATGTTTTTACAGAATAGGAATGCACATTTACTTTTGTTGCGGAAAGTTTGGATCTTTCGGGATTCCCTTTGCCTGAGTGATTTCGACTGTGGATGTGGGCAGATCCTTACTAACCTGGGGTTAGGGAGAGGAGGGTCAGCCCCAGCCACAGCACTGCGTGTGCCTTGCTGGCTGCGCTGAGGGTGGCTCCAAAGGTGGTCAGTGGGCAGTGGGTGACTTTCCGGTCTCAGCAAATGGAGTCTCTTATCACTGAGGAAAATCTTCCTGTAATAAAGGCATCTTTGTATTTTAGTTCTAGCATACATTTTGCATTCTAAAACCAGGCAAGCATATGTATATGCATGTGTTTGGTGTGGGCTTGTGCACATAAGCCAAGATACATATGCCCATCTAGGCTCAGATATATTACAGAGACTCCTTTGCTGTCTGGTGGAGTCTGGTGTTTTATTGTTTCATAAAACTACCTTAATTACATTTCCCCATAGATAAGATAAACAGGACCCTTCTTTTCTAACAGTGGCTTATCAGAAGTATTTTGTCGAAGCGGCATCCAAAGTAAGCTTTTGAGAGTGGATGGAAACGCATTAATTTTTATTTTGGTTCTTCAGTTGCACTTAGCATCTGACAAGAGTTGATTTAAATATTACATGATTCTATCTTTAATGTTCAAAAAAGATTTGTGAGAAAGACAAAACTGTTTAATTTAAACTAATGTATGCCTGACTCTGGTCAGATTGATCACAGTTTTGGGTTTTGATGGGTTTTGCCCTTCTGTTGCTTGTCCTCTCAAGCTGGTTTTTCACTGTGAAATTATTTTAGTTCGGTGGCATGGACCAGCGGCTGCTGTCAAATCCACAACCCATCCAGTTAGTAAGAACGGGGGGGTGGGGGTGGTGAGGAATAACAAATGTAGTCCTTTTACCTAAAAACATTAATGTCCATAAGTCAGTCTCTGTTAGAAAAAAAGGCGAATTTCATAGATTAATATCAAAATCCTAGGTGGCACTTGCCAGGTCATATACTTAACAAGCCTGGAAAAGAGACCTACTTATCACCACTCTACATATAAAATAAGGTGTTTTAATTTTTCTTTAACCTCGGGGACGGTATCTGAGCAAAACAGTAATAATAGCATTAAGTGTTCATTTCACCACTTGCATCAGCAATTTTTGTGTGTAACCTTTCAGAACTGAAATCCCCAAAACCGTAGTTAGGGTTCCAGGACACAAATGCCTCCCTCGCTCTTTTTAAATCGCCCCTGCAACACCTGATGGGCGATGGGATTTGGCTAGCGAAGTCTGAGCTGCAGCTGTTCAAGATCCGTAATTGTAAAACACGCGAACAGGAGAGGAACGTGGCGGTGGTGGTGTTTTAATCGCGGCAAAACTGTAATTGTTGCTTGCACACCCAGATGGAGCCTGAAATGTAATTTTCCTCAAATTAAGAGTAGTTAAAATAGCAAAGCGGGGAAGGCAGTCTGGCCGGGCTGCAGGGGAGAGCGGGGGGCGTGCGGCATGGAGCGAGGACTGCGAGCTTGTTCTGCCTTTGTCGGGCTCGCCAGATGAATCCTCCGCCACCATCACCCCCGACGCGAGAAGCCCTTCTTTCAATTACTTTCTGTGTTTGTATCCGCTTCTTATTTTATAACTCAAGTTTACTTGGTGCAGTTAACAGCACTGCCCTCTCCTCCCTTTCTCTAACTCATCGCTTCAGAACGAGAGCTCGTTTTACATTTCCTAAAGCAGAGATACGCAGAGGTCCCTTTCCCATTTAAGGCGGGTGGGGGGGAACACATTTGGTTAAACCGCAGGCATTTCCCGTGCCGCTTTCGGACAGCGTCCCCCCAGAGCCGCAGCGCGGCCCAGCACCGGCCTCCCCGCGTGTGTCCCGGCCCCCGCCGCGGGCCCGGCCCGCAGAGCCGTGCCGGGACGGCCGGGCGGCCGCCGCAGCTTCAGCAGCTTGCTGCTTTTCTCGCCTTTGCACATTAACGCTAACTTCCACTAATTATCTGGAGTAAATGTATTAGACTAATTAGCATCTGGGCACCACGGGAAACTCTGAACAGTAATTATATTGCGGGGGGAATCCAGAACGAGGGAGAAAACCCAGTGATTTGTCAAGCCAAGTCGCCGCTCGCAACTTTGCCCCCCGCCAGTGCGTCGCGCCGGGGCCGGGGCGGGAGGAGCGGGGCCGAGCGAGGGGCAGCAGGTACTCGGCTCCGCCCGAGCGCTGCTGCGAGCGCCTGGCGGAGCGCGGGCAAAGCCCTTCGCTGGCACTGCTTCCGCGGCCTTGGCTAGCGCTTTTCCGACTATCTCGGCGGCAAGGGTTCGTCCCGCAGTTTCGGTGGCTGCTCGGGCCGCTCGGTCGCAGCCCCGCTCCTACCTGAACGCAGGACGGCGAGCCGGAGCTGGGCGGCGGCCCTTGGGCGCTAGGAGGAGAGCCGGGCTGGGAGGCAGAGACGCGGTGCAGGCAGGGGCAGCCCCTCTCGGGATCACGTCAAGTTTGGCACTGCACTTCAGTAAAGAGCAAACTCGGCCCAAATAACGGATGGCTTCTTTTTTTTCCCCCGTCCCTTCCTTTTTAAAAGAAAATGAGTTTTCAGAGCTGTCCGATTTTTTTTTTACGTGACGATCTTTTGTGCTGCGGTGCGAACTGAAGAGAGAAATTGAAAATAACTGGATGAGCTCAAACAGCGCTTCCCTAATTACTTCTGAACTTCTCATTTAGAAAGAGATGAATAGGTATGCATTACATTGTTAAAAAAAAAAAGAGCTTTCGGATAATCATCTTACACTTTTACAAAACAGTCCTGCCTTCCCCGTTTCTTTCTAAAGAAAGAATGGAGTCTTCTAGTTGAAAACTAGTTTTAAAAGCCAGATATTTCACAGTAAAAGCAGTTAAAATATAAGTTTACTTTCTTTAAAGAGAGGGAAAGAGATTTAAGCGATTCTCAGTTTTTCTATTTCGTGCCAGAAAATTCTACTGACGAGGAAAAAAACCAACTGTGTCTGATTATTTTTTAAGAGAGCCCTGGGGTTACAATAAAAAAAAACTTTGTTTTTTTTTTTTTTTAATTTTTAATTAAAATTGAATAAACGCTTAAGGAGAAATTAGCAGTCACCTCCATCCAAGACCTACTCGGGTTTTATAACAGAATCAAAGCGTATTTAAAAAAAAAAGTAAAACCTTTTAATACATCAAATATACGGAATTTTAATCTTTAAAGCGATACATTGTCTATTTTAGTACATGACGTAAACCTTACTTAACCCTTTTTACAGGGTGGACTTAAAAATTAAAAATAGTTAAGTGTTCCTTTTAAAGAACAAAATAAGGCAAATGAGGTTTTTGGAATAGAATTGTTTTTGTTTTTTCTTCCAGAATACATACAAAAAAATACCAATTCTCTTTCAAGGGTATACACCTTAAAAATAATTGCAATTTGAAATTATAACTGACAAATTGCGAGTTGTTTTTAGTAACAAACATGCATGTAAATTTTTTGTTTCAATGAGACATTAAATAAGAACGTACAATACAATCATAGCAATTTTAAAGTAACATTAAAGAGAAGACCTCTATCTTTTTATTTATATTCTACAATGGGTGTTCCACTTTTACCTATTGAGCTCAGTTTAGTAATGCACTTTATGATTCGTTGTCCCGCTTGAAGCTAACATAAATAAATACAGTGCTCATGGATCCAGTCCTCAAATGAACACTATTTTATAAAAAGTCAGATTTTTTTTTTCTTTCTAACTTTTATAAAGTTTCGCAGGGCTTCCTTCCCTTACCGCTAGACTTTGTGTGGTGTGTCAAAGCCCCGCTGCCTGCACTCACTGGTAGCCCAGGGCCGAGGCTGTGGTGAGTCTCTGCCCATAGAGTGCGTAAGGGGAGTAGTAGGGTCCGGTGGCAGCGGGCACGGGCACGGGGGCCCCGGGGGTGGGCAGGGGGCTCTTGGAGTAGGGGTGGTAGCGGCTGCCGAGTCCCAGCGCGTGGTGCGGGCTGCGCAAGGCCAGCGTGCCCGGGCTGCCCGGGGCGCCCGTCGTGGGGATGTGCATGTGGCACGCCATGGCCGCAGCCGCTGCGCTGGCCAGCGACGAGGAGCTGGGGTAGCTGGACAGGAGTTTATCGGTGCCCGGGAAGGCAGTATGGGTCCGCAAGTGGCTAAGCAGCTCCTCCGAGGTGGCAAAGCGCTTGTCGCAGGGTCCGTTGGCCGACACCCAGTTGCAGATGTGTGGCTGGGGGTCGTTGGGGAGCATGAAGCCGTAGGGGTACAAAGGGTGGCCGGCTAGCGAAGGCGGCGTGGCGCCGGTCAGCGAGGAGTGGACGCTGTGCAAAGGGTGGGTGGGGTAGACGAGGGGGTATCCGGACTTGAGGGCTTGGTCGTGGGCGCAGGAGGCTCCGGCGGCGCCTGCCAGGTGGCTGGCGCAGTGGTAGCTCAGGCAGTACGGGTCTCGGCACAGGCTCGCCGTCATCACCGACGGCGGCGACGCGCCCGCCAGCGGGCTCGACCCCGCCGGCTTGCTGCAGCCCAGGCTGCTGGCGGCGGCCAGCTGGGCCCCCACCAGGCTGGAGGATTTGGTGGGGTCCAGAGCCACTCCGTGCGGCAGGAACTGTGGCGGGTAGCCGGCGTAGGCTCCAGCCAGCGTCCCCGGGTAGCTCATGCCCGCCGGGGGCAAGGGGAAAACGGTCTGGCCCGGCTTGTAAGGGGAGACGGGGGCCACGAGGCCGGAGCCCAGAACGGAGGTGGAGGAGGTGGCGGTGGTGCTGCTGCAGGAGGAGGCGGAGTCCGATGCGATGGGCTTGGAGCCCGGCGTGCTCTCCTGGTGCTGGTTGACCTCCACGTTAATCCCGGCACAGCTCACGCTAATCCGGCTGTGGCTGATGCTGGTGGTGCCCGGGCCTCCCTCCGAGCCGGAGCTGCCGCTCTTTCCGCAGCCCTCCGAGTCCTTCTTGTCCTCCCCGCCTTTGCCCTCGGCCGGCAGCAGCCCGGGCGAGCAGGCGGAGGCGCTGGAGTTGGGGCTGCCTGTCCTTGGGGTGAACGGCTGGCAGGTGGCGCTCGGCACCCGGAATCCCGACTTCTCCCCGGCCGCGACCCCCGCCGCGGGGGCGCCCGCGCAGCCCGCCGCCCCCGGCTCCTTCTTCTCCGCGCCCGGCTTGGAGTACGGCTTGAAGCTCGATTTGTCCTCCACGCCGATGTCGCTGAGCTTCAAGGGGCCCGACTTGGAGTCCTTGTCGCCTCCGGAGCCATTGGAGGTGACCGAGGAGAGTTTGGAGGAAGGGGACGGGTCCGGCTTCCCTATCTGCGAGCAAGTTTGTGCCAAAAGGGCCAGGGGGCTCTTCTTTGCATCCAGCTGCGGAAATCAGAAGAACACACAAAGAAAGAGATTTAATCGGGGTCTGAGGAACCCCCATTGCTTACATAGGACTCTTGTCCCGTAGGTTTCTGCAGAGTACAGCCTGGAAGTAACGAACAGTTTGTGCGCATTCATCAACTTGACAGCCCCCTCCCTTGAATGCACCATTTTCCATAAAGCCTTTAAAAAGGGCTGGGGATTTTCGTATCCCTGCGAGCTCGCTGCGGCCGCCTTCAATGCCCCCCGCCTCCCCGGCAGCGGCCCGGGCAGCGCGGAGCTCGGCGTCGCTCGGGCCGCGCTGGCCCGCAAAGCCGCCCGTGAACTATAGCGACTGCAGCAGCATTTCTGCACCCTGACTGCTGGCACTATTTATAAACAGAGCCCGAGCTAGCCGGCGAGCAGGGCTCCCCGGGAGAAGAGTGTCCTCGCTCCGCGGAGACCTTAATGAAATCATTCATTCCCACGGACACACCCTTCCCACCACCAGCTCTGTTTCTAGTTTCGGTCCCGCAAACAGCGAGCTAGGCAGAGGGGGACCAGCAACCCCGACAGAGCAGAAAGGGACCAACAGGCGCCCCGAAGTACAGATCCGTGTCGGTACTTGAAAGGAATCGGTCGGCGAGCCGAAATAGTTATCCTGCCGCACCCACGTTTGAGCCTGTCGCTCTCCGCGTCCCGTCCCGTGTGTGTCCCCCCCACCCCAACACGCTCCCTGCAGAAGCAAGGCTGTTTGGCGCTCGGAGCGCTGCTTATTTGCGTGGCCGGATCGTGACCCCAGCGTGGATCGGTTCCTTCCACCCACCCCTCCTCTCAAAAAGGAAAAAAATATAATCTAAAAATCTCAAAATAGCAAAAAGAAAATATTAATTTACACAGGAACTAGACATTACCCCAGTAAACACGGAAACAATACCCAGGAGCGGCTCCTCGCACTAACTCGAGATCAAAAAAAGCCCCTGTCCCGGTAAAAATGCATTTCAAAGCGCAGGAAAGTGCCGAGGGCGGCTGGCGGAGCCGCCATGCAGAGCCAGCGCCCGGGCAGGGACGAGAGAAAGCGACGGGGGCCGGCTCCTTACCTCGATGGGGCTGACGGGCGTGGAGGGTAAAGGCTGCAGGTATTCAGGGTGTAAAATGTGTCCAGTCCGCGCCGTGAGCATTTTCAAGACTTTGATGGGAAGGCGGTTGGCTTGGCGTAGCGGGTCCGAGGGGGGGACGGCGTGGAAGCAGGGCTTGGCGGCGGCGCTGCTGCCGTTATTCCCAGCGTGCCCGTTCGGCCCGGCGAGGTCGGCGGCGCTGCGGCTGCGGCGGGGGCTGCCTCCGGGCTCGCTGAGGCTGCTGCTGCGCTTACTACTTCTTATAGCAGAAAGCGAGGGCGATGTGATCATGACCCAAAACCTCGCATGAAAACTGGGGCAAGTGGCGCCGCTCGCACTCGGAAACGCTCGCTCGCTTTCTGCGGGCGAGAAAGGAAAAAAGCCACACGCCCCCCGAGCAGAAAAACAAACATACAATGTCCCGTGGCTCTCTCTGGCGGGGAGGGCGTGGGTGGGGAGGGGGAGGGAAAGGGGGAGCCGGCCGGAGAGAAAGAGGAGGAAAAAAAGCCGAGTAATCCTTGGGCTGTGCTGGGGGCGGGGGTGGGGGCTGCGAGCGTGTGCCGCGGTCCCCCTCGGCCGCTCTCAGCTCCCCCGGCTGGCGCGGCGCGGAGCGCTCGCCTCCGCCGCTCAGCTGTGATGCGAGCCGCTGCCCATCCAGCCCGGGATCTGGCAAAGAAACTCACTTCAAAAGCAGCTGAATTAGTCTGAGATTAAAGCCTTTGCCGCCTTCCAATCAAATGGGACCCCGAGGTGATTGGAGGGTCAAGGGGATGTGACGTTCCCTTTTCTGGGCTTTTTTTTTTCTCCGTTTTTAATGGTCTCTCGCTCTTTTTTTTTTCCCTTCCCTTTCTCGTCCGCCTTCCCTCTCCCCTCCCCTCCTTCCTTGTTTTCGCTCCTCGGATGGGATGGGCGTTAATTCTGTGTTTCACATCACGCGCTGCGAACGTTTTTCTTCCTCCGCAGCCAGCGCGGATGGCGCGGCAGCGGCGGGGCGGCCGCAGCCGCGGAAGGGCGCGGGGCGCTTTTCCCGCCCCTCCCGCCTGACAGCGCGGGGGAGGCCCGGACGAGAACCTGCAGAGCGCCGGCCTGCACGTCGCCGGCGGCAGCGGGCGGGAGCCGGGGCGCTGCGGCGCGCTTGCGGCGGCGCGGGGAGCGCGGCGGGATTGGGGGAGGTCGTCACACGCGGGGCTGTCACGCACAGCCCGCCGCCGCCTTTCGGGACTCTCCGCCCCGCCGTCAATTGTCAGTGCTCCCCAACCGCAATCAATCAGTTA